AGCTATCGACAGAATTCACACACTTTCGAGGCATTTCAGATCAGCACTTAAATTAATTTAAAAATCAACTTCACACGATAATTTCAATAGCAACCACGTGCGTACAATTGACAAACTCACATAGGTTATGTTTACTACTTAAGAACAGCTGATGAGAGGGGTGTTATGTAAACAAACATGTTTACCAACTGTTGGTGATGAAACATTCCATTTGTTGAAAACTCAATATACATATAAATAATATAATGATACTATATCTTGAAAACAAGAGCTAATATATAATTTTTATGGTAACTTTCGGTTTTAACACGTGGAAATACATTAAAATCATCTAATTTCAACCCCGAAACAAAAACTTTGTTGTGCCGACAGCACACTTGTCTCGTCATTCCATTTGAAATTTAGGACATCGGCTACAGAGGCACATCTTCATCGGCAGCAGGATGTTGCATATCTCAATGAGGATCTAGAAGTGATTTAGAATTGGGGTGAAAGTAACTAAGTTCAATTCAACGCCACAAAAACCCAGGCATCGGTTTTCTCCAAGAAGATAAATGTCTCCGAACCGAATATAATAATGTCAGGTCAAACAATTCCGCTTTCTGCTTCGATAAGTTTGTTGGGGGTTGGAATGGACACCAATATGTCTTGGCACAATCATGTCGCTGAAATTGCAAAGGCTGCTTGTCAGAACCTTGGAACACTGTTTCGAACCAGAAAATTATACATACCTCGGCAACTTTTGATGCTTTATGAAGCTCAGATCATACCTTCTTCGGAGTATTGTTCTCATGTATGGAGCTTTGCCCATATAGGACGAAACTGCAGTAACGTTAGTTACAAAGAAAAGTGGTTAAAAACATAGAAAGTTTCAATTCTCTTTTCTTCATTAGTACAGGTAAGTCGAAATGACTTACCTGTAGGTACTATGTCATATTATATTTCGTCATATTATTTAAACGAATCGATTCCGTAAATTCACCGACATGTGACCATACATTTTTGCATAATGATTATTTTGAAACATCAATTGACAAACTCAGCCTCAAATTTTAATACTTCTGTTTGAAGAGAGTTAAAGTCTACCATAATATTTGCGAAAAACTGAAAATAAGTTCCTCTAATTCATTAAATTATTTGTTAGAGTTCACGAGAATCAAAAATTACAACTTCAAATCATCACGTAGATAAACCTTGATCAGTGCACCAAGTGTGAATTTTTTATACATATTTTCAAAACTCCACAGAAAATTTCCACGCAAAATCTCAAAAATTGTAATGAGATACACGTAAAGGAAGAGTAGGTAAAGAAAATAAGCGAATATTAAATGAATGAAAAATATTATACGGCATAACACGTTATTTAAATAAACAAGAATGCATCTAAATACAACTTTGAAATTTAGTATTCACGTTACTCACATGTTCAACTCAAAAAAATGGTGCCATACTGTAAGAAATTATTCAACTATTGCATAAAATTTTGCAATTATTCAATTAAATCCTACGTTTATCAACCACTCTACAGGTATGTCACTATAACAATTATGCGTCTAATCAAATAACTAATCAAACAACTACTAGACCAAATTTTGAGGTGGAAGAAATAGTTTTTCGAATTTTGGAAAACGACATGTTTGAGGGAGTATGGCGGGTATTTTGGACCCTCGGAATAGTATGGCGTGGTAATTTACATACAAGATAGTTGAAAACAATTGTTTGTAAAAAATCAGCCTGTAAGAAAAATTTAAAAAAAAGTTTAAAAAAACATATTCAAAAAAGTGTGGCAGGTCTAAACACCTACAGGAGAAGTATATCATATAGCTAGTGCCGGATTTTTTTTGTTGAAATACCGATAAATTGAAGAAATTTTGTGAAAAAAATTGTTTAACACCTCCGGATTTTCGAGCAATTTCAGTTAATTATTCTGCAATTGCGTCTCACGCACCACTGGTAAGAACATCACTTTCCTTTCACTTATTACGTATAATATGAATTCTCCTGAAAGCGCGATACTGTGAGAAATGAATTACCAAAATCTTCCACCATCTCCCGGTCTATTAGCTTTCCAGATTTTTTTAAATTTCACTGTTTTATTCCTTGGAAACAATAGTTAGTATTTGTGAGGGAATCAACACTTTTTTGTTGTTTGGGGGTATTCTATCGGGGTAGATTTTATGCTATGCTACGGTCATATTTGGAGCTTTCAATATCTTCATGTCAAACCAGAAAACATTGTTGAGTCATTCTGAAAAGAAAATGAATTCAGTTGAGGAAATAGATAGTTTCTCAATTAACATGCATATTTTATTGAAACATACGTGTTGCGCTTTTGTAAACTGTCTTGCTAGTGGAAACTTGAAGTAAAGTGTTACTACTTATGATTCATTATTCACAATATTCACAGCTGAATGCTATTATCAATTTGTCAAATTATTTTTCAGGTAGAATGTTCATCATATTAGTGGTTTTTGCATGGGCATTCTTACCATTCACATACCTTGCTGGTTATTTCTTTGATGAACCTTCGACCGGATACACCAGATTGTCTTTAATAGGAATTTTTGCAGGTGAGACAATTTGATTCACAAAAAATCATAATGTGCTTCATTCATCCTTCATTCAGGCCATTTTTTAATACAGTTCTATTGGCACTGAACATTATGAATTGAGCCTGAATAGCTATTTATGTGACCAGTTATGGAAAGTATCATTTTGTGTGATGGGCGCGTCTTCTGAGAAACGAGAATCACAATGCCGGAAATTACTTTTCGACAGCGTCGGGTCAGGCGAATTTTGAAACAGCTCCATATCAACAAAGCGTCTGGCTCTGATAGTGCCTGTCATAGTACTTAAAAAGTGCGCAAATGATCTCGCACCAGTATTTTGCAAACTTTTCAAACTGTTTTCAAAATACTTAGCGATCATCAATATGGCTTTCGGAAACAAAGATCAACAGGCGACCTTATATTGAAATAATACCAACATGGAGAATCAAGATCTATTGCGCATGATATTTCTAAGGTCTTCGACAGTGTGTGGTATGAGGGTTTGCTGGTCAAACTTCGGTGCTATGACTATGGCTTTTCAGCTTCTCGAAAGAACATTCCCTACAAGTGGCCATCGATGGATATCTCTCGAACACTTTCACCATCAACGCTGGTATTCCCCAGGGATCCATATTGTCTTCAACCCTCTCTTTATTGTATATCAACGACTTATTGGAAAAAAACAAGAATCCAATATATTGCTTTGCTGACGACAACACACTTGTCTCGTTATTCCATTTGGATTCCAGGACATCAGCTACGGAACTACATCTTCACCGACAGCAGGAGGTTGTATATCTTAATAGAGATCTGGAAGTAATTCAAAATTGGGGTGAAAGTGACGAGGTTCAATTCAATAACACAAAAACTCAAGAATCGGTTTTTTCCAAGAAGACGAATGTTTCCGAACCGGATATAATGATGTCAAGTCAAACAGTTTCGTTTATAGTGACATCCTCCATGGTTCTCTTGTCCTCCTTGGTTGAGAACTTCAGTTGATGAATCGCCTATCAATTTTTCTAGCTCTTTGCCTCCCACAGATTCAGATAGGAAAGAGATTGTTCTCACGTCCTTCATCAGTGCATATTCCTCACGGACGTCACTGACAAGACAAATCATAATTTCAGCTTTCCGACATATGTTGAAAAGTCATATAATAAATATTGATACTTTGATTTCCTATATTTCAGAGAACATAAATTTCAGTCCGTTTACATCTTCAACTTTATTTAAGGTAACATCATCTTCCTGGTGGTGCAAGTATTGATGAATCCTGGTTTGAAATTGGAACACGTTGGTAAAGCACTTCATTGGCTATTTCTACTGAATCCTCATTACTCTCTCGCTAGTGCCATTAGCGAAAGTTACAATGTTTTCGCATACAATAACGTTTGCGAAAAAATTTTTGAGAACTGTGCCAAAGTGAATTTAACGAGACAAGCTTGCTTGGACGCCCCTGATTCAACACAAATCAAGGATATATGCACAGGTAACAATTTTTTTTCTAGCTCAACATCTTTCTCGCCATAAACTCCATGAATCTTTGGTCTCCTGTGCTATAGTGTATGTTATGAAGATTGACATGAAGTCAATCTTCACCCTGCCAATCTTCACCATAGCTGGATTCGCCATGCTAGCCTGATAAGGCTAGCAATCTATAAATGCTTTGGTTGTTTTTCTGAAGTTTGAATAACTATCTCTTCAAATTTTTCCATGTAGAAATTCGTCACTACTGGGCTAAGTGCTCTGCCCATGGCAACTCCATCAACTTTTTCAAGAAAGGTTTTATTCCACTGTATAAATAAGTTGTCGTTAGTGAATGTCGAAATGAGTTGATATCTTGTGATATTTGATTTTTCCAGATATAGACACAGATTATTTCAAATGGGAGGAACATGGAATAGGAAGAAATATGCTATACTCATTTCTCACAGGATTAGTAATGTATATTATACTCTACGCCGTCGAATATGAAGTATTCTCGAAACTAATTTACTTCTTAGAGAAACGATTCTTCTCAACTCACCCCGTTGAAACAACAGATGAGGATGCGGATGTAGCGGAAGAGAAAGATAAGATTCGAAATGCTACAGAAGCGGATCTCTGTTCGACTTTCCAGCTCGCCATTCGCGATTTGACTAAGTATTATAAGAAATTCTTGGCGGTGAATGGACTGTGTCTAGGAGTTAAGAAGTATGAATGTTTTGGTCTTCTTGGAATCAACGGAGCGGGTAAAACTACCACGTTCAAGATGATGACTGGAGACGTGAAAATTTCCTATGGTGACGGCTGGGTGAGTACCAAAACGTTGAAATAGTATCTATAGCGTGAAATATACAAGTATGTCGAAAAATCCGAATGAAATTGTGCTGTCCTGAATCCTAAAGATCCTTCTGCAATATTCGACTATTATCACGTAGAAACAGCTTATACATACTAAAGGCCATTGTTTGGCAATTACTGTATGGGCTGAAAAATCGGGCCTAGCACATAGATGGCGCTATTTTTATTGCAGTCACCGTTTTTTCAGTTAGTATCAGTCTTTAAAAGAAATCTGTTGAAATTTCATGATATTCTTCTCAGAAAATTGTGAGTTAATGTGCTCCGACGGCCAGTTTTTTCATTTCACCTCCGACATATTTATTCATTTCCATTTTTCAACACTGTACCAAAACATGAAGATGGCAGAGTCTCTAATAAAAATATTGCTGGATATGTACCGCCTCCGACAGCCTGTTTTTTGATTTCACCCCTGCCATATTTCTTTATTTCCAGTTGTGACCACTATAACAAAATATGAAGGTGGCAGAGTCTCTAAAATATTGCTTCATCTGTACCGCCACCGACGGCCGATTTTTTCATTTTACCTCTCCCATATTTCTTTATTTCCAGTTGTGACCACTATAACCAAATATGAAGGTGGCAGAGACTCTAATAAAAATATTGGTGAATTTTTCGATTTCGTCACTGCTATATTCCTTCGTTTCCTTTTGTTGACACTATAACAAAATATAAAGTTGGCAGGGTGTCTGATTGAAATGTTGACGGATTTTTCATTCAGTTTCCACTATTTTCTATAATTTCCGTCATTTCAAATATTCATGACGCCTTCAAAATACATTTTTCACTGTTTCGGGAAACATAATAGAAAATATGAAATATTGCTGAACTTTATTGCCAAAGTAACCGAGGTTGTTGAATGATCAAACAGATCAATTCAGGTACTCAATCAAGCCAAGTACCTGTATTATCACCTACAGGGGTGCTACATAAGTCGAATGTTATCAACCATTGTTAGTTTGATGTATAAGTATGATAATGTCTTTATAGGACGAAACTGCCTATTGTTAGTTACAAATAAAAGTGATAAAAAACATAAAAAATTTAATTTCTTCAATAGTGATATTAATTTTATTAGCTTGAAAACAATGATCAAAAACAATTTCGTGTTTTAATTTACATTGCTTCTTGAAGGTAAAAAATACCGTTCGAGCGAAGCCATGGCTTGAAAAGGATTCTCCTCCATTAAGAACAACAATCAAACGTTGGTTCGCTGACTTCAAATGTGGTAGTAGAAACACCGATGATGCAGAACGCAATGGACGTCCAAATGAGGCAGTAAAACCAGAAAACATAAAAAAATAAACGAAATCGTATTGAATGATCCAAAAGTGAAGTTACGCGCGTTAGTTGATACTGTAAAGATATCAGAAAAACGTGTTGGATTTATATTGTATGAGCATTTGACTAAGAGAAGACTCAGTTGAGAGTGGGTGCTGCGTAAGCTCACTATTGACCAAAACAATAACGTCTTGATGATTCTGAGAAGTGTTTGGTCGTGTTTGAAAATAACAAAACGGAATATTTGCGTCGATATGTGACAATGAATCGTCATCTGAGTGGAGAGCAACTGGTGAACCACGTCAATGGCGCTTGAAAGCACAACAATCAGTTGGAAAGGTTATGGTCTTCGTATTTGGGAATGTGCGTGGTGTTTATCTTGAGAAGACAATTTTTTTCAACAGACACGCGTTTTTTTTTCTCAGGCCCGAGACTTTTCAGCTCATGTGTTCTGTATCTGTAATGAAAGTGAGTGAAGACACACAGCACTTAGGCCACATGTGACCCATTGTATATCCTCCCGAGGAATTGTCCTCCTAGGTCATCATCCGTCCTGTCCTTTCCAGGAAGGTGGACAGGTCACTAGGAGACATATCCTTTATAATGGCAGGTGTAGGCCAAGAGTCGCCGAACACACACTCTTTTTTGGCAATCTTGAGGTGTCTCACGGTGGCCTCCGCGAAGGTTTTGGAAGGTGCAGCGACATTACTGTCGTTGCGCGGCTTCCTCAACCTTCTTGGGGTTCCCTCCGTGGAGGTGCACAAGTGAGGGAGCTTTTCTGCCGGGGCAGCCGGTTCCTTGCCTATATTTGAGGCGGAGTTCTTGGCGTTCGCCGCAGGAAGTGTCCTTGCTGTTGAAGGTGGAGTGGGGAAGGAGGAGAGTGCACTTATAGTTGCTGCCACTCCTGCCTCTTTTGCTCCCTTTCTCCTTTTGACCTAGGCGCCGCAAATGCGCTTACGCCTTGGCCTTTGTATTACTTCACGAGATGATCTGCTATGTCCAACTTCATTCCTAGCGGTAGATTGGGTTGGACATTTCTGTTCTTCCCCAGCCACCGCCTTAGATTGAGGTGAGCACTTCTGTTCAGCCTCGGGATTGGTTTTGGTTGTTTCTGTTCCCACGAGTAGCACGGGGAGAGTTGGTCACCTAGGCAGAGCCCCGCATTACCAAAGGTAGGCTGATTACAATGAGGTTTCGCCCTGTTCCCCAAGGAGCTCGTTCATAACCGTATATCACCCTGCGGTCATTCAGCTGTCGGCACGATTCCTTACACCTTAGCTTGGGTAGGCTGGTCCACGATGACATGTTTTACAAAGGCTTTTGGGGTGTTTTAGTCCCCCTCACTCTATTTATTTCTGCCACTGACCAGGTATCCGGCGATCACGTCCGTAAGGCCACATTGGCTTCCAGTCCCTCCATTGGCTTCCAGGGCCTCCAGTCCCCTGGCCGTTCCCCTATCCGCCACCTGGGGACGCGCCCGATAGGTAGCCCAACCCACGAGCAGCTCATGTGTTATTCCATTTCAAATACACTTCTTGGTCAAATACAAAGCCAAAGCAAGCAAATCATGAAAATAATGAAATTCATTGTAAAATTTCGAACGTTGGCAATTACAATTGTCGACTATCATTTTCAACGAGATACCCAAAATTTCATTCCATTCATCATAGTGTTAACATTTTTTTCGTGGCTTTCTTTCAGGTTAACGGTAAGAGCATCAAATCCCAACTGAAAGAAGTTCAAAAAGCAATAGGTTACTGCCCACAATTCGATGCTCTTCTAGAGGATATGACTGCCCAAGAGACTATAGTGATGTTCTCTTTATTGAGGGGCATCAGACTCAAAGACGCACACAATGTAGCACAGTTCCTGTCTGAAGAGTTCGACTTTCAGAGACATTTGAAGAAGAAGGTGAAAGAGCTGAGCGGTGGAAATAAAAGGAAATTGAGCACAGCTCTTTCATTGATAGGAGACCCTCCCGTACTCTACCTTGATGAACCAACTACAGGTGAGGTTGAATACTGATAAATATGAGTATGTCTGAATGGCTCACTATTTCCGGAATTGAGTTAAAACTGGAGATATAAGGAATAATAATAATAGTAATACAAGTTTCAAAAATATATGAAATTTCACAATGGTCAACTGAATTCTATGAACATTCCTTACAAATGAACTGAAAAATCCCCACGCTATAGGTTCGGACAGTATCTCACTTCGAATGATTCGTTTGGTGGAAACACATCTCTTGGAATACATCACCTTTATACTGAATTCGTGTATCACTTCCTCGTGTTTTCCTTCCCTTTGGAAGTATTCACTTGTGATTCCCTTAGCCAAGTGTAGCTCTCTGACACATTACTCTGATCTTAGGCCCATTAGTATTCCACCTTCCCTATCTAAAACGCTCGAACTGATTTTCAAAGATCAGTTGATTGAATCCATCACTTCGTATAATATCATAACTAGCGTTCAGTCTGGGTTTCGTTCTCAACATAGTACGACTTCCGCACTCCTCTCCATAACGGATGATATTTTCAAAGCGACCGATAAAAATTATGTTATATGTCTAGTTTTATTAGACTTTAGTAAAGCTTTTGATACCTTAGACCGCAGTCTTTTATGCAATAAACTAAATCACTTTGGTTTGGATAAATATGCCGTAGATCTTATTGAAAGCTTTTTGGAACACCGAACTCAGCCTTGATCACTTAAAATCTGTAGTTCTGAACACCAAATTTGGAGTTCCACAAGATTCCATTCTTGGACCTCTCTTATTCAACATCTATATCTCAGATTTTTACAAATATATTGAATTTTGCAATATCCACCACTACGTTGATGACACTCAAATTCACTTATCTTTTCCGGAAGGCAACCTGGAAGCACAAGAACTGATAAATAGAGATATCAATTTACTGTATAACGTCTCGTGTGCACATAACTTGAAATTGAATGCTAAAAAATCATCATATATGTTATTTGGATCCAAATCTAAAAGGATCCTGACTTCCAACCTCATCAAGATCCACATAAATGATGTTGCCTTACCTTTCACTTCTGAATGCAAAAACTTGGGTTTGTGGATTGACTCCGATTTGAGATTTTCTAAACATATCAGTCTTCTTTGTAAAATATCTCATACCATTCTCAGGCAAATTTTTCCCAGTAGAGATATTCTTTCTACACAACTCAAACTTGAGCTTTGCGAAACTTTAATTTTTTCTAAATTGTCATATTGCGATTGCATATATGGACCTGCACTTACTCAATACGACTCTCTTCGCCTCTGAAGAATTCAAAACTCTTGTTTGAGATTTTCCTTCGGTATACGTAAATTTGGTCACATCAGTAGTAGGTTTGATGACTCCAGATGGTTAAGGTTCGAAAAACTACGCACTCAACATATACTCACAAATACACATATCTCAAGAATATCTTAAACTGAAAAATGAAAGCAAATAATGAATTTAAAGAACGTACGTGAATAACTCACCAAGATATTGTTAAAAAATCTAATGGCATAAATGTACTAAGATGAAGAACGATGAGCAGATGAATAATTTCGACAAATTTTGAATAATCTGTCATATCATCAGAGCATAATAAATGTAATATCTCTCGATATATCACAAATATCAAAATTTACACGAAGTGGGGTAAAATTATTTCTTACTTCTATTTGAAAACTAAAACACCCCTCACAACTGATGAAAAATATATTGTGATATACAGTATTAGGAATCACACGTTGAAAGGTAAGATCTCATTAGTCTTCAGCTCGCACAAGTTTTCACTTCTGAGGGTTGTCGTTTGCAGCTAGTTAACGGAAAAACCTATTTTGAATATTATTACATGCACATTCTGCATGTGTGACTGTAATTTCGGAGGGTCACGTTATGGATTATAACAATACCGAAATTCTATCCGTAGGAAATGATATAACTTTGAGATTCATTTCTTGGAATGGTTCACATTAGTTAAAGTCAGAATTCTTCAAAAAAAAAAACTCGATAATACAAAATTTAAACAAAATTCATAATTACGTTTTAACTTTTGGGTAAATAATTACAATGGAAATTGAATTCACTACTGATAGTTGATTTTTTTTATTTTTACATTTTTACTGGGAATTGTATTCATGATAACTATGTATAGTCCAAAATTATACTCGAATCCATTTTCTCTGATGACATGACAGATTATTCAACATTTGTCAAAATTGTACCCCTGTCTGTTATATGTACCTATGTTCATTAACCTATATTTGAAATGGTAAGCTAGGGTGGTTGTCATGACGGCAGATAACAAAAATAGAGGTACAAGTAGAAGGTACAAAAACTGTTAGAAGATACTGAAAGAATATGTCGCTCCATCTAGTGGACGAGGTACTAACCAACTGCAAATTACGGGCAAATTATGAAAGAATATGGTTTGTTTCCGTATATTGATGTTTTGTAAGGCTTATAACATGGTGTCAGAAGTAGCTACTTATGTGTGAGATACTTTTCTCTAGTCAGTTTGTATTTCAAACATCACTTTGTGGAATGAAAATCAGATATCATTCACATGAGTTCTACTTTAAATGAATGGTAACAAATTGCACTTACATAGAACACTGTCATACTCACGGGTTTACATCGATGTTTCGCTTCAAGACACTTGCCCTAAGACTCTTCAGTACCGAATTGGATAACATTATAGAAATATAGAAAATACACACACTTCATTCATGAATTACGAATTTTCAATGTCACGGAATAAGCTTGATCTGCTTATGTCATCGATGACATCGTAATGACATTCATTCACCTATTTGATTCAATCCCAGCCAAGAGGAATCTTATTTGAATTGACGAAGAAATCAAACTTGTACAGTTAAAAATTAAAATGGCAAAGTGCTATTTGTTTTACATTTTCTTTGAAAATAAAGCTAGGAGAAAATAAAAACTAAATTCTCAAATTTTGGTTTCTCTCGGATATCTCCGAAACTACACGAAATATTGAAATTTTTTGAATGAAATCCCCATGCTGTTCATTCTTATCTTGGACACAGTGTATATTATCATCAGGTGAGTAACCTGAGTAAATTGTAAAACAAACTACTTGAAAAAAGTTGCATGAAAATAAATAACAAAATTTTGTTTCATCCAATATTCTTCATTATCAACACACCATTCACAAAATATTCCCACTTAATATTAGATGATCATTAATGCACCTCTACATTAATTTCAATTCGTTTCAAAATATTATGTACCTAAAAAACGAATTGGTTAACAAATACACTCTGACGTTTGTCTTCAATTCTGCGACTGAAAAAATGAAAGCAATCATTCTCTCAATTTATCGAGACAACGGGTAACTATTCCTAACACTGTATTATTATTATTAGCGATGATTGCTTCTGGAAGTAACATTTGCACGGTACTTGAAACAATGTTTACTAACAAACAATGCTACTTAATAAACGTTATTAGTATGTGTACATTCCATTTTCATCCAGAGTTATCAAACCATTTTATTAACGCTAAACCTTTCAGAAAATGACTACTTGGAAACTGCCAAACACATGCAGACACGTTTCAAAATGATCATCGACTATGTCAAAGCTCTTTTGATAATGAAAACACTAAATACTCCTACTGAAACCTCATTCAGAATAAGAAATACAAAAAAATGGCAGAAGTCAGCTTTGCACATGATAAATCAAGACAGACGTTGCTTTTCCATCCAAACAACAAGCTTACTCATATTACTACAAAATGATTTGAATGACAAAAAGGGAAGGAGGTAGAACAGAAAAATGATATGAAAAAAAAGTCAATTCAATTCAATTAGTTTTTTGTCCCAAGAAACGATAAAAGGTTAAAATTAGGAACTATAACTAACTATAAAGTAGGTATAATGAAATATAGAAATAAGATATTTCACAATAAACACATAACATATCTTAAAAAATAACTTTCTAACGCAGTCAGATATGAAACTGGTTTCAGAAAGTACATGTCGAAAACTAATACAAGTGTAATAGGAAAAAAAAATCTACAGTAATATAGCTGCAAGAGTT